GAGGCTTGTGCTTCATTACTTTCTATGCTTCTGTCTGTAGGATTTGAGCCATACTAAGAAAGACAAAGATAGTAAAAGTTGGTTTATACATGCACTCCTTACTTGTCAAAGATTTGTACTAAGTTTTCCTTCCTGACCCTCAAGAAGGAAAAGGGGTCAGAGTGACAAGGGGGAATCTGATAGATCCTGGGAGAAAAGTGAGAGGAAACAACATGTTTACATCATGGAGTGCTGGCTTTATCATTAACTGTATGCTTGCTTGCACTGGAACAACAACCTTATCTTGTCCTGCGCCGACACCAGTGAGAACAAGCATGCTGAGTCTATGGCCTTGCTCACTATCACTCCGTTGCTGTGGAAATGGCGCGAAGATCACATGGCTGCCTTGCCGTGGCGGTCATGAGTTGTTCCAGAGGTTGAATGCGTGTGTTTATATTTCTGTTCCACTATTGCAAAGCCTCGGGGGTAAACCCTCACAGTCACATGACCGCCAACAGGAAGTGAGGCATCAATCCGCAGCACAGTAACTGTATGGCATCCCCCAAGTTTCTGCCAACTGACCTCTCACAGTTCCTTATATGGAGGCTCTATTCTTAGCACATGTGCATGATATGAAGAAGCTGCTGTTAGTCTCATTCTGAGCACAGTCCAACCCCGGCCCTGTTGTCAGTTGTTCCGCTCTCTACATGTTTCAAGTGTCTGTAGCTGAAACTAAGATAAAGGGATCACTATGGATTATACTGTATATTGCAGTTTGGAGAGAGTATTGCTTTTGAAGTGGATTTTGTGTTAATTAGTTGAGAAGCCCTCGCACAAATTGTAAAAATGTCAAACTGTCTTGGTGGCTTGCTCTGCTAGGACCAACCTTTTTCATATCAGGGACCCCCCACAATAAATGCACACTATACCGCGGACCCCTGTTTGAGGGGATTTTGTCTTATGGAACTCCCTCTGAGCAAGTGTCTATTGTTAGGTGTGAAAATGTGTTGATCCAATTCCAGCAAATGGCTATTAGTATTCTATTCTAGTACTCTTTTTGAAATGGACCCCTTAAAACCCCTCTCCAAGGACCCCTGTTGGTTACCAGACCCCCATTTGAAAACCACTGTGTTCAATTTACTAAACCTGTAGACAGTGGGACCAGATTAATGAATGCTAAACCTCTAAATAATCGTACAACCACACTAACTAACGACATCTTAGAAATGCCCACCCAGTCATGAAGAGTGGTCTTCCTTACATTACTATTTGACCCTTACAGTGTTGCATTACCTTTGTATGTGTTAAGCTAATTCTCTTGTCCAGAGCAATGCAGTCCAGCTTTTGAATCAGCTTGAATTACGTGTTAAAAGCAGAAACCAACAAGACAATCCTGGTCTCCCTGAAGGTGTAATGTGTAAGAGCTTTGCAGAGAAGCCGAAGTATGAATTGGACATTACGTCATAGTAATCTGTACCGACTCTGACAAGAGATAAAAGAACCTCAGCCTCTCTCCTTTTTCTTTTTTTTTCTTTTTTTTTTTTTTTTTTTTTTTTACCTGACTCCCAACATTTACACCAGTGGTCCAGAGCTGCGCAGCATCATCCAATCACATCCCTTCACAACTCTTCTTCACACTCTCTCTGTGCTGGTTACCAAGGAGACAGTGAAGTGAAGTCTGGGAAGTGGAGCAATGGTTTGGCATGAGTGTTTTTTATTTATTTATTATTTATTTAATTTCTTTTCTCTCTCTTTTCGACAGCCTGGGAATATAATATTACCACCTAGTGATTGTGTGTTTGTCATATTACAAGTTAAGGAAGCGAGATGCAAGTGCTAAGTGTTTCCTATACCGTATGCAGCGTGTATGCATGCGTGTAAAAGAGCAGTTGTGTCACAGGCTCCGTCACCTGATCCCCGCCGTCCCACCTGTTCTCACCATTTTCTCTCGCTGTGATCCCACAATTCCTGGCGGGATGCGAGCGCGCCTCTTCTTGCCAGGAATCTGTCAGTAACGACAGGAAAGAGTGTATTTTAGGGCGAGCTTGAACTACCCGAGATCGTTTTGAATAATGAGCTGACCTTGATCCAAGTGGGCCAGTTTGGGTCAGACCGGTAGTCTAAGAAGGAGAATGAGGGAAGGGGGGTGGGTTGAACTCTGGGAAAAATGAAAGGAAAGTCAGCTGAGTGAAGATGACGTGGGCCGAGAGCTGACAGTCGAGCCTTAGAGGTGCTTCTGTCCTTTCCAGTTCTTGCACCTGTACACACATGAACACACACACACACACACACATGCTTGCACAACCACACAGTCTTTGGCTTTGACTTCCCCCCTCACCTCACATTCCACCTCATCACTCACTATTGTTAAGAAAGCAGAAAAAAGGGGTACAGTCACATTTTAAAACTGCTTCTCTGCTAAATGTTTGGTTGCCTGTCCGTCATCCATCTGTCCCTGTGCGTCTTTCAGAGCTGGTTGTGAATTCAGCAGAATTCCCCCCCGTCCAATGCAGCTTGTGTGGGGGGTCCAAACAGCTGGCTCTGCTGTCGCTGCAGCAGGAGTTACATTATGGATGCAGAAACGCGGCAGTTTAAGAAAAATCTTCCTACTGGGACTAGGGTTGGGGGGGGAGATCTGGATCATGACCGACCTGTGTAGCACTCACTCTCTCTCCTGCTGTCCTCTAACTCTCCAGCCAAGTGGAACTGAGGAAAAAAAGAGACAGGAGTTCAATAGAGAGGTGGATGCAGATTGACAGATGGACAGAGGGAACTGGATTTGGGGACGGGTGTGGAACGGGCATTGGGGATTTGAGTGTGTGTAGATGTCTCCACACTAGAGCCCACCAGGCTGTTTGCTGTCTTAGTCCCCCCTAGGGTCTTTGATGTCTCTTCTCTTTCCTTTAATTATATTCCTTTCTGGACTTCCACCCCCTACGCATGCACACACACACACACACACACACACACACACACACACACACACACACACACACACACACATTTCTTCACCTCCTCTACATCTCTGATTACTGTATAGGAAACAGTTTGCTGCAGTGCTGTACACAATGTCTGCTAGCCCTCTGCATCTCTCCCGTGCTTTGATTTTACTTTCTCTCTAATCTCTCTCTTGAATGATTTATTTGAAGGGTAAAACTGGATAAACACAATAGGGCTGACACACTTGTCTACACCCCCTGACCTCTGCCGCATCTCTCCTTCTCTGCCTTTCTTTTTCCCCCTGCTTTGTCTCGATCTTCTCTTCGTTTCTCCCTTTCTCTCCGCCCTCCATCGTTCTCTTTCTTTTCCGCCTGCACCTCCAGCTCCGGTGTCAGCACTTCTCTTCCCACCACGTTCGCGTGTCGCCATGCTTTATGAATAAATCGGAGCTTGTTTGACTCCCGCGAACCCTGCAGCTCACCGTGCCACCGCTGCTCCGCACCCTCGGGACCAAAGAAGTGTTGACAGGCTTTGATTTTTAGAATATGTGTGATGCGCTCGTGTGGATTTGGGATTTAGTGCATATGAGGGGTGTCACCCACAAAATCCTGCAAATCCACTTTGAAGGAAAAAAATCTTTATGTTTCCTAGTCAGAAAAAAATGAAGAGATTTGTCCATGGGGCCTATATTTATATATATATATATATTTATATAAAAAAAAAACCCAAGTGAAATAAGTTGTGCAAAATCAAAGAAATACTAAGCTTATTGCTTTTTCTGAATTAAAAGAGATCAATTTCATGTCTGAGCATTAAATACAGAGCTTGTGTCAGGACGCGGTTAGCCTAGCTTAGCACAAAAACTGGATGCAGCTCTGTCCAACCAGTAGTGTAGGGTAGTCTTTTATTACAATTTAAATCTCAACATACATGCACATTACCAATAATAATCCCACTGAGAGGATAGCCTGGTCCAGGATGTAAGCATCAAGCTAACCATGCAACGGGACATGGCCAGTCTCTACCAAATGACAAAGTGTTTCCCAGTAACTAAAAGTTATTTTATTCATGTTCTGAGTATTTACGCTGGCTCGGTGTGCTTTGCAGCCAACAGTTTGCTACCTATACTAGCATCAAGTATTTAGCTAGAGCCAGATGGTAATTAAGTTATCTTAGGGGAAACAGCAAGCCTAGCTCTGTTCACACCTACCGGCAGCTCTAAAGCTCATGTATCAACCTCTGGTCTCTTGTTTGTTTAACCCATTCACAAACTGAAACGTGGAAGGGAAGCTGTTATAGGGGGTTTCCAGTGAAGACTAAAGATGGCGCCACGGTGCTGCTCTGTTGGTGCTTTATGTACTGCCACTATTTCTTAACAGCGGTGTATCTGCAGCTTTGGGTCTGCTGGGACTCAGGTGGTAGAGCCGAGTCATTTGGTAATCAGAGAGTCACAGGTTTGATTCCGGGCTCCACCAGTCCATTCAAAGTGTTTCTGGGCAACATCCTGAGCCCCAAATTGCTCCTGATTGCTGTGCTGTGTGCGTACGGGTGAGCTAGTATCATAATGAGCACTTTGGATAGGCAGCGCTGTATTACTCCTGATGAGCTGTTGGCACGTTGCATGGCAGCCTCTGTCACGAGTGGATGAATGCATGTGTGAATGTGACAAGTGTTATGAAATGCATTGAGTGGTCAGTAGAGCAGAAAAGCGCTGTATGAAGTCCATTTAGCATTTATTGATCCATTGTGTGCAGTGTCTCCGCTGGTTGCCTGGTCACTGCTCCCGGCTCGCTTGTAAAACCACTATTTTTGCAAATGTTTCCATTTTGTTCTGTGTATGGACTTGACAGACGTGTTGATTAGTGAGCTGTGGAGGTGCTGGTTGGTCTAGGAATGTAGTGATTGCTGTGATTTTGCTAAGCTAAGCTAATTGCCTCCTGGCTCCAGCTCTGTACTTAACACAAAGACATGAGATTGATCTTATTTCACTCTCGCTAAGAACCAAATAAGTTTCCCTAAATTTTGAACTTTAAAAACTTTAACCCAGAAACCTTTTTTTTTTCCTCCTCCTCCCTCCTTAGATGCAGATACTCGACAAGTTCCCAATTGAGGGAGGGCAGAAGGACCCAAAGAAGAGGATCATCCCATTTCTCCCAGGTAATAGTCTGCTCCAAAGCTCCAGTTATCTGAACAGGCTCCTGTATTAATAATGTATGGCTGGCACTAGCGCAGCGTCAATATGAGCTGGTTACTGATGCCTGCCTTTGCTGTGTGTGTGTGTGTGTGTGTGTGTGTGTGTGTGTGTGTGTGTGGGGCATGTATAGATGTGTGTGTTACCTTACTGCTGACAAGGCGCTGTCTGTGACTTTCAAATCTCAGCTGTGTTTACACGCCTGCATGTCTGTGTTTTTAGGACATTTTTGGAGCAGTTTGAAATTGTGTTTCTAACTGAGGGTATGATTATGCACGCATTTGATTACATGGATATACAGTGTGTGTGTGTGTGTGTGTGTGTGTGTGTGTGTGTGTGTGTGTGTGTGTGTGTGTGTGTGTGTGTGTGTGTGTGTGTACGTGTGTGTCCTAACATTGATTGGAGTCATGCCACACATGCTCGTCTCTCTTGCTGTAAGTCGTCGCCTGACATTCAGACTCATGGCGACCTACAGTACAGTGTGGCAGTGATCGATGACGGTGTTTGAGGCAGTTCGCTGTCCGGGGCAGAAGGGTTGACAGTGATTCTGCTAATCACACTGATGTCTTTGTGTGTGTGTGTGTGTGTGTGTGTGTGTGTGTGTGTGTGTGTGCACCTGTATATTTGTCATGCAGATATCTGTGGATGAATTTGTGCTCAGGGAGTGAAATGCTCCTGTCTGTTCACTGCAGTTTATTTTACTAAATGCTGTTTCAGCCTTGTGGCAAACACATGGTCCCAGCATCTACTGTAAATGCTCTCTAGCTCCCCTCTAGCCCTCCTCCTCCTTTGAGTCTTTCTCTCCCTTGCTGACACACAACTCACAAATGAAACCAATTTGGAAACCAACCAAATATCCACCTACCTCTTATCTCTGGAACCAGTGGCCCCAGATGCAAACATTATTGGCCGTCTGCGTTTGTTTGGGGATGTTTGTTTGGTTAAGCGCCTCGACCCTTGCTGTGTGACACTTGGAATTCAATAAACCGCAAAGCAATATTTCAGACAAAGTTGTTAATGAATACATGATGAATACCCCCCCCACACACACACACACACACAGAATCAAAGGTTGGGTTACTTATTCTTTTATCATAGGGTTCCAGATTTAAATGAAAAACTTAAATCATTCTAGCTTATTTTATTTAGCCAAAAACTAATAAACATAATCCATCCCACCCCTCACTGACACTGAACTCCACATATCTACCTTTAACTGCTTGTACGCGGGCCATCCATAGCTCCAAGTACCTGATATCAATGTACATTAGAACCTAAACTCCAAAAGATAGGGAATGAGTGATTGTTTCGCTACTGTAAATCCGGCGAATCGCGCTCGCTTTTCAATCCTCAAGCAATGTTATGAAGAATTTTATACGGAGCTGAAACGACAGACAATTAATCACCAACAATTTTTTCAAAGCGAAATACCCCAAAATTGAATGAAAATGAATGAATATTTGCTGGTTTTCTTCGCCTGTTCCACAATTGTAAATGGAATATCTTGGCTTTTGTGGTTCTTATTGACAGCTGCCCTCCCAATAAAACTACAGTTACCATCAATAAAATTCTGTCTTGTCTCACCTTCATTCTGTCTTCATTGAAAAGTGAGTGAGTACATAATGAGGACCAGTAATGCTAATGCTCTGAAAGCTGATAGCATGTTTACTTGAAGACATTGCCATTCTCTGTTATAGTCTACATATTATGTTTACTCTTAGTCATATCGCAGTCATAAGTACAGCTCTTTAAATAGTAGCTCCAAATGAGCTGATTATGCAAGACGGTTTCTCATCGCTTTACACTCCTGAAACAGGATGCAGTGCATGCAGTACATGGTAATTGTGCCGTCAGGGTCCTTGGTGGCGTGACTTTAATGCTCCCCCTGAATGGGATGAGAGGAGGGCCTGAAATGCGTGACCCATGTGTGTATAAATCCTATTTGTTGTTTGGAAAGATATGTCACAGGCAGAGGTCATGGGATCCATAGGGGGACAGCTGGGGCCTTGAGTGTGGGACTGAGATTGCTTTGGCTGTGAAGGATCACCACCGTACATTACTGACATCTCCTGGTTGGTTAGGGTATTACATGAAGCGCCACAAAATTAAAGTTGATGTTTTTTTTTAGGGAGGACTCTATGCATGTGTCAGATATAGTCACTTATCTATCTGTTACCTCCTTTTCTTTTCCATCTATCACACTGTCCTCCACCTCCTCCCCTCCTCCCGCATTTTGATTTCTTTCTCCTTCTCCTCCCCTCCAGGCAAAATCCTGTTCCGGAGGAGTCATGTGCGAGATGTGGCCATGAAGCGGCTGCGTTTCATCGACGACTACTGCAGGGTAAAGAGACCTTACTGTCAACATCCTTCAGTTCCCCAATCCGACTGGGGAATGTCCCCACAGCCTGCAGGGGTCAAAGGTCATGGCCAGTTCTGTCCTTTCACATGCTTTAAACATGGGACACGAGTTTACTGAGAGTGCTCGCAGTGAAGAGCTGCGTATCTGAGACATCTGAGCTGTCTGTGATGTGCTCTGACACCGTTCGCAGTTTGCTGATGTTATGAAGGACTCTGTGGGGAACTGTTGGGATCTTTTGCTCCCACAGTCGAGGGGTTGTTTTTTTTCAAGCGGGGCGACCTAGTTGCGTGTCAGACTTCTCAGTCACTGCACTGCATGAAACAGACTTCACTAACGACCTCATCCCCTTATTTGATACACTTAGGAACAAAGGCTCGCTTCCAAATTAGCGTCCAACCCAAAAGAAACCTTGAAAGCCTTTCGTCATCCTCTGACTCAAGGGGGAATGGCCTTATCACTTCCTGTTCTCTCTTATTAGTTGTTTTTGATTTATCCCGGATTCAGATCCTTTCCTCCGTCATGCCCTCCCCACTTCCTTCCTTCCTTCCTTCCTTCCTCTTGGCGCAAAGCCACGCTGGCAGTAGTGAGAGGGTGCATTAATTCAAGCTCGGGCTCTTGTGTTTGCCTCACGCAATTAGTGAGCAGCACCGTTGGCCTGCATTAGGGGAGGTTAGCCACAGTATGAGCTCACTAATTGGGACCAAAAGAAGTTTAAAAACCAAAAAGCAACTGCACACATCTGAAATTAACCTGATCCATAGCTCAGCACAGGCAAAGGCTTCCTCATTACCCAAATAACCTGAAGCTCTCTAATGTTTACAGTTGCTATAGTGAGCCTGCTTTTTTTCGCCAGGCGCTGGAGTGTGCCGAACTGTTTACTTCCTACATCCTGTTTATGAGGCAAACAACAGAGAGGAAGAGTAATTACCCGGTGTTCTCAAAGGATCTGCTCTCTGGAGATTGTGGGATGCAGAGTCCAGCCAGCGGAGGGTGCGCAGCGACACACGGCCTCTTCAATCACAACCACAAGGCTCTTTCAATAATATAGGATCCGATGAATGAAATATGAAGGTAGCTCAGACTGTGCCCATTTAAATGAAAGGCCTACGCTGTACATATAAGTCGGCGCATATCTTGGCCATCCAGCACCCCGGTACTGTACATGAGCTATACCTTAGGTGCGAGCTGGACAGATCATTAAATATAGATGGTTAGTCAGACATATGATCCTCTCTTTGACTGTAGTGGGGCTTTGTGATTGAACATACAGAGAGAGAACAGAGGAGGAAGGATGGGTCATTACCCTTTAGTAGATGTAGAAGTGAGTAAGAATGCACACTGAGATGTAATTATTTTTTCCAGAAAAAGCTTTAATAACAATCAGGTGAATGGTACAGACCTCAACCGTAATACCATTTCTCCAAGAAAACCTAAAAATGGAAAGAAGTTAAAAAATGTTAAAGCTGCATTAGTTTTTCTTTTTCATTTACAGCTTAGCCTCTTGGTGGCAGGGAAACAAGCTGTAAACACATCAATGACATATTATCTCCTTCCAGTTGGGTTAGGGTTTGGGTTAGGGTTGTGGCAAGTTAGCTTGCAAACAGCTGACACTAAGGGTGCAACAGATCACAAAACTTACAGTTCGGATCATATCATGGTTTTGATGCATTGATCATTTTTCAGATCATCAATACAAACCAAAGGGAGGTTAAAGGGGTTAAAATACAGGCAGGGACTGCGAGCTGCTCCGTTGAGCAAGCGGAGCTGTGTGCCGGTGGGAAGGTGGCAGATACAAACATCACAGTCTTAGGATCTATGAGGACAAGAATGCCCAGTTTCCTAGTTACACCACTGAAAAGGTCCAATTTCACGGAAGCAACGGCTTTTAAATCAGCCGCTTTTCACTAACCCAGTCATTAAAACCCAGCATGCATCTGTCTTGGCTATGTTTTAACTACAACTCTGCATTGAGATTTAAGGAGTTATTTTTAAAAGTAACAGTGGTAGTAAAACTGTATCTGAGAAAACTATCTGGCTGTTTGGCTTTAGCTGCTTTAGGTTAACTTTCTGTGCCCTTTGGTGCTGGGCAGGTAGCGTACAGTGGGTTTATCAGAGCTTTTTCTCTGAAGACAGTTGTCTGCTTTATCTAGAGATGAGGTTGTTGAGAGTTGCAGGCCAAAAAAATGAGAACATTTAGCTTTAAGAGACTAAAAGGTTCTGTGAAGCCAACGGGGAACTGTAGAGGTGGGTGACAATTCTCTGCTGCTTTGTCACTTTAAGACATTTGTAAATTCAACAAGTAAAGAACATGACTAATCTCAATTGTAGGATGTCGTCTCTTAAACCCCTAATTCTCTTTCTGTCTCTCCCCTCAGGCGCTGGTGCGACTCCCCCCTCAGATCTCTCAGAGCGAGGAGGTTCTGCGCTTCTTTGAGACTAAAGCTGAGGACATCAACCCCCCAGTGGAGTGAGTGTCACATACTGTACTGTGCATACACACAGAAGCCCCATGTACACATACTGTATGTATTGACTGAGCTACCATCTCGGTTTGAAAATTGAAATATCTTCCTCTTTTAAAAATGAAAAGTTGTATAAGTAATAAAATGCAACCTTTCTGACTTCAGTACATATACATACCAATACCCGTGACGCAAACTGCCCTTAATGGAGTGCATATTCCGAATGTGTTTATACATGTTGAAAGAATATTAAATAATAAAATAAATTAAAAAAATTAAAATAAATCCTGAATAATGTCGCCATATACCACATGTCGAAAAAATGCTCCATTCGGAATAAGCCTTTAAACTAGAAAACAATTGTTAGTTATTTCATTTAGACTTTATTAAAATAAGTATTTCGGTCATTTTATTGAGCTGAATTTAAGAATTTGTACCTTAATCTTAATCTAAGATGAATAATTAAAATCTTACAATAGGACACAGTTTCTTCAGGCAGTACAATATAGGTAAGTGACTTCGTCTTAAATGAAGACACCAGAAACTTTCTTATTTCAGCATTTTTTAATCACACAATGAAAAACTCAACATCTGCTTAATTTCCAACGCTGGGACAAGACGACTGTACACTGGGACAAGACTACCAGATTAAAAAATATAAAAAATAAGACTAATTTCACAGAAACACAGGTTTTTTCACGTTCTTGAGATTACTTTTTTGCAGTGTAAAGATTTAAATCCTTTACGTAAATTACAGCGTAATTGCACAGGTTTACATTGATATGCCACCACAGTAATAATGGCTTTGCCTCCCAGCTGGATTAGTCTATACAGATGCCCACACACACATACAGTATGTAAACTTGCTCACACCAATTACATGCACAACATGCAAACACGATGTTGGCAATTAAATAAATCGCTTTGTTGACTGATGATTTTGTCACAATAGCTCAGATGTTGTCGTTACAGCTTGCCCACGTGCTCGACACACCTGTGCATCATGTTATGAATTTCAGCATCTTTTTGCATGTCATTGTTTGACTCATTGCCTCAAAAACACAGCAGGATTGTAGCGTGTCTAAGCTCATTACCACTCTGTCTGTTCCCACTTTCTCGTCTATTCCCAAATCAGCTCTTTTTCTCCGAGTGTGTTAAAACCTCCTACCAGGCCAGGCAGAAAAGGAGGTTGGGGGGGGGTGCAGGGGGTGCAGAGAGTTGATGGATGTGAGAGTGGGAGGAGGAGAATGACTTGTTTCATAGCAGGAGATAGGCCCTTTGGGTAGTTTTTAATTAGAGAACACACTCTCCTCTCCAAACCTCAAATGCCAGTATCGCACTATTCATTTGTAATGTGTTCCTCTATGCACCGAGACAGCTGCACCCGAGGCACTGCAACCGAGTACTCTTGTTAGACCCAGGCTATGTCTTTTTTTGTCTTTTAATTACTTTTCGTATTCTCCACTCCTCTCCTCTCCTCTACTCTCTTCTCAATCTCTAGTTTACAGTTTTGTCCTCACCTTTTCTTTCAGGCAGAATTTAGTGACCTCTGCCTGCCAGTGTTTTTCAGCACAGTGTAATAGGGTGTCTCTCCACATCTTCCTACCTCCTGTAATTCTTTGTACCTAACTCTGCCTCATAAATTCAAGTACGTTTAATTGACGCGGCAGCTCAAGGTTACGAACAGCAACGCCAGCGCGACCATTCTTTGATCAACAGCTTTCGTTTCCTCACCGTCTCTCCCTCCTCCCTCTCATTTGACTTATGCCCTTCATTTTTTTTCGAATCCTTTTTTTCTTTCTCTTCATCAGCTTTATTCTCTCTTTCATTTCTCCGTCCTGTATATGCCAGTGTATTTTGCTGCATAAAGAAATTACATTAATGTTCTTGTCAGGAATTGTAGGAGATGAAACCATACATACTGTGCTCACCACACACAGTCTGTTAGCCCCCATCTGCGACACATGCAGTGCTGCACAGACTAATTTTAGATATGTAATTTTCATCCGCTGAATTTAAACAGATGTTTACATTACACAAGAGTTGCATATGATGGAAGTTCTCTATGAACAAAGGGCATAAAAGGATACCATCAAAGAAGTTCACCACATGACTTACAGGGCTCATGATAGGGATAAGAGACACAGTCAAACTGCCCTGAAGGAAGCTTGTAGAGGGAGAAAAGGAGAGGTCCAAGGATTGACCCTTGAGAAACTCCACAGGTCAGAGGAGCATGTTTAGATACAAACCTGTGATTAGATATATAGGGCAAAAAGCGTAAGGAAGAAAAGTGGATAAAAACTGCATGAAAAAAAGAAGGGAATATCAGATAATAGTTTTGATAGTCTGTAAATTGCACCCTGTCTCTCATGTGTTCTTGAAGACTCACATTTGGGGACACACAGCTTAAAACTCTAAGAGTGTGTGAATTAATTACTTTAAAGGTCTCATACAAAGAAAAAAGAGTGAGTTTAGATAAAAACTTTTAAGATTCATATTTTCGGCCCCAAAAAAGTGCTTCATGTAAGACGCTGTCGAAGAAACGTACTAAAGCTGTTCTACAAATTGTGAAGTGGAAGTACTAGTCTGAAGCCAGAGATGGTGTAGTCGTGGAAACCTGTGTCTAAGGAAGTGCTGTACTGCAGTCAACTTCAGATCAAATAGATCCAGACCCTCCTCTGGCTCCTCTGTATCCCTTCAGGTTTTCACTCCGTCTTACTAAAAGAGGAAAATACTCAGGGGGGTGAACTGCCCGCTCTCTGCTTAAAAAAAAAAGAGAAAAAGACTGCTCAGTTAATGGTTATTAAGACGTCATGATCCAGAGGACTTGACTTGTGTCAGGGCTAAATTGGATGGGTTCCTTCCATTCCCTACCCATAATGCATCTTCTAGATGAAAATGAATCATGGGGCAGTGTGTTCAGGAATGAGATTGGCCATTGATTTAAAGTCGTGATTGGAGAGTGTGTGTTAGAAGTGTGCAGATTTTTTAATGTTTGTGTGCAAATGCGCATGTGTGTCCTGAGTGCTTAGAGGAAGAGTGATGATTTGAAACCCTGAGAAGGATGAAGAATAATATTGATCCATCACAGTGTGTGTGTGTGTGTGTGTGTGTGTGTGTGTGTTTGAGTGTGTATACTTTCAGCCCATTTGTTATATCCTAGTGATGTAATATTGACTTTTACCATACATCCCCTCTCCTCGCTCTTTATGTCTTTATGCGTGACTTTATGCAGAGCTTTGTGTTATTGCTGGCCAGTAGAACAATAGCAGTATGTATCAGCAGTAGGTACATTATCAATAACAATAAGAACATTGTTCAATAGAATATTAATAGATTCACTTAAAAACGTACAGTATGTAATTTCTGCCTCTAGGGGGTCTCTCACATCAAAACAATAACAAAAGACAAAGTTTGGTGATGTTGTGAAGTAGGATGGGATCATGGGAGTTGTTGTCCTCACTACCATTGTTGTCATTGCAGTCAGCTTCTCCCAGTTAGGATCCCTTCAGTGTTCAGGAGGTTTTTACCGGCAGCCGAATTATCCACAGAGGTCTCGTCCTCTCCAAAACAAACCGACCCAATGATTAAAACCAGCTGTGTTTCATTAGTGTTATCACATTTGAGATAATGTCAGAACACAACTCGACTACATATACAACATAGGTCTCGCATTTTTAGACGTTTTAATATGGAAATGTTATATATTGTAACTTTAAATATAAACCACCATGAAAGCTCATAACAAACAACCTATCCTTGGATAATGGAGAGTGCTATGACTGAATCACCATAACCACTTCCACCTTTTGGAGACTGTGTTTGAGGTTGCAGCTTCTGAAATTGGAAAGCTTTGAAACCTGTAACTCTTTCCCTTGGACCTAAGATCTGTGGACACTTTAGAAAGCAGGTCAAGAACTATCTGTCTAGACTTTCCTTCGTGTATTTTTTATTTATTTCTTACTCGTCAGTATAGTGGCTTCTTTTTCCTGTGATGCATTTAGTGACATTCTGCTCCTGAAAGGTGCTTTGTACTAAACTTACTTCCTCTCCTCCTCCGCTGCCACTTCAATTCTTCTCCTTGCTCTTTCTTCTTGTTTCCCCTCTCTTCCCATTTTGTACTCATCCTCTCATCTCCATTGTCCAGGAGTTATGAAGCATCCCACCCTCTCTCCTCCTCCCCCCTCCCAGTCTCCCACCTCCGTCTTTCTCCTCCCAGTCATCTGCCTGTTCCACTCCGTCTGCTGCGAGCGGGAGACAGGCGACAGACTCACTCAACCTTAATGGATAAGCTGCTCCATTCCCCTCACTATTAGGATCAATAGCACTCACCGGAGACCGCACAGCACAACGCGAGCTGTGCACAGCGCCGGCGTCAATGGGGTTAAACACTTTTAAGTGTCTCAGAGTGGTGAGGAGCGGTCAGCCGAGTGCGTGGCCCGTGGGAGGTCTTGTGTTTACATGTATGTGCTGTCATCTGTGAGCGTTCATCGATCTCAAACGGTGCAGTTCTACACTTCACGCAATCAGATTTGAAATTGTTTGGGTTCACACCCAAAGAGTTAGAGTGGCAGGAGAAAAGTTGAGTGTTGTTTTTTTTAGGGCTAAATTGGTCTTGCTTGTTGTACGCAGCGTGTTTGTTGTTGTCAGGTTATTTCAGTGCACCTCCCGCCGCCTGTCTGTGCTCAGCAGTCTCGGCTCTATTTTTTTCTCTCACCACCATCTTACATGGATGCACTCATTCACCCGACCCTCCCACCCACCCGATGCGGTGTCTGACTCACTTGTGCTCTCATCCTCGCACACTTACTCACAGGGTGTTGTCAAGGTGGGGCTACAGTAATAGCTTTTGGGAGGGCCAGACTGTGCATGAGTGTGATGAGTAGAGCTGGCCAAGACAGCTGTAGCTACCAGAGTGATGAAATGTGTTCACTGCATCACTTCCTGGAAAAGGAGGAAGGAGATGAAGGGGATGAGGGGGGGTTCCCTTGGGGGGTGAGGAGGC